GATGGAGCCGTGAAAATCACGTTCGATATTATGCTACGGTATTTGGGTCGCCGTTCAGAGGGTGAGCATTCACTGTCTCCTTGGTTTCTTCAATGTTGTCCTGCCGACTCTCAAATCGCTGCTGTAAATATTTCAGGGCCTTTGTGGTCATACTCCACCATCTAAACCCCAATGTACATGATGCCGTGACTACAAGGTTTACGCTCTGGACAAGTTCCCAAATCGATGAACAATAGCAGGAACCAACCCATGTGTGACTGTGTTCGTTAGTCACAGGAAGCAGGAGAACTGAGGGGAGATAAGCTCCACTCAGTCACGTGACTCTTGACAGTGATGCCTTAGGCATCCATCTCGGTCTGCCCATCTGGACTGTGCAGAAGTATCCTGGAGTTGCAAAAACACAATATCAGGCCAACCACCCGCAAGGCGAACAACGTGAATCAGAGGCACCTAGATTTAAGCTGCACAAATCGACAGAAAGTTCCTCAGGCCCGGACTTGAGGCAGGAAACATCAAGTGACTTCAAGCAATCAATGGGTCAAGAGTCCAGCAAACAAGAATCGAATGGGCGGGAATCGAACGAAGAAGGATCGAATGAGCGGGAATCAAACGAACAAGAGTCCAACAAAGGACCAAAGAGTCAGGTATCTGGGCCGAAAAGTGACGAACAGGAGCCAGCAGACTTCAACAGGGGAGGACTAGCATTCGTTCCATCGGTGCACAAGGAAAGAGCACCGGTTCAATTGATCTAGGGAAACTTCGGCGACATGGGTGATGATAGGGTTGCTAAATTCTGGGAACGTAGTCTGCTAGGACAACTTTTCCAGACTGATTACATCGAGGACCACCTTGCCATTTTCGTGGCTGGTATTAATTGCATTCCTCCTCACCTACCAAAGAGAAAGAAACGCATGTACCATTACTACGATCCTGATCTGTGGAACGGTGACGAAGACGACGAAGATGACGAAGATTTCGTCAACGAGGAACATACTCAGACCGACTCAGAGGGGGACAGCTCAGAAGGGGACAGTTCCAAAGAGGAACTGGCCAAAATCACGGAAGAAGGGCAAAAAAGGGGCAGGGAAAGCCAAGACCAGAAGGCGCAGTAAAGAGCTGGTAACGGAGAGCCTAGAAGAATAAGATGAAACAGATGCCAAGAGTGAAGCTAAATTCGGCAAAGGGCGCAGACAGATAGTGCAGAACAGGATAGGCTGGCGAAGAAGAAGAAAATCCCAGCTGTGATTATGACTCATTGAGGTTCGTGGACCTAGAAACCTCAAATAGCTCTAGTGCGCTAAAACAAGGCTGCAGCGTCGGCTCGTATCCACGGAATTCCCGGCGTCCCCGACACGCACCCCTTGCGAACGGCTGCGCCACAGCGGACAGCCGCGAGCGAATGAGCGTAGAACTAGCCGAACAGCCCACTTCTTAAGAGCTCGCTCCCTGCTCCCTCGCTTCCCCGCTTTACGTTCTTGATTTCCTTACCTGAATGCATTTCGATTGCAATGCTTTTGAGGTTCTTGAAAGAGGCAACCCAACACCAAACCAAACAGAAATGTACGACGCGATGGTGAAGCCAATAAGACCGACGTATGCGGCGTACATGGCCATGTCGTCGAGCCCATACTTGCGACGTCGCTGAAGAAGTGTGATGAGACGGCATATGGTGACGAGGGTTCCTAACGATGTAGAAGTCGCTCCTGCTTTCGTCAGGGCCGTGCGTTGTGTTTTTGATCCCATCTAGCTTACCAACCACTATCAGGACGTTCCTGTCGGACATGCTAACCTAGAAGTCGGTATGCACGTCTTCCTAGCAAACTAGGGTGTCGACTCTCAAAATATATACTCAATATCGTGTTGCAGTAGCAAGAAGAGAGATACAACAGCATGGAGGTCATCTGGTGCAGTCCTCTCAGCGGAGCATGCATGATACGGTTACGCGATTGAGAGATTGGCAACGAATCGCATGATTTGCACCGAGAGAACGGAAAAGCTCGAGCTCGGGAACGGCAAGACAGCTTACCTCTGCTAGCGCAATTTCGCCTCTTACGGACATGCTCAGGCGCCTTACTTCCGTCTAAGTCGTTGCACTCTTGCTCGCTTGGGTCTCGTTTGATATTGACGACGTATACAGGACGGTCCAAGGGAAGACGCGAGCCTTTAAGGAAGCTCCAACGAACATGGGAAAACCACCATCCCGTCAAGATCCTGCCAAAATGCCATTGAAGCCGGAAGCCATACTTGCTTCATTTCGACTGGTACGCTTGCACTACTTGCACTCGACGGCGCAGGTGAGCTCACAAGACCAGGAACTTCCTCCGTCGTATCCAACTAAGAAACATGAGTTCGAGGCCGGCCCTCTCGAAGAGGCATGGTGCGAGGTGCTGAACATGTCGGACAAGAAGAAGAAAGCCTCGTGGGCACGTGATCTAACGACGACGACGACGACGACACGAAGAGCAGTAGAGGACTTGAGCGAGCCTTGAAACAGACTTGATAAATACACAGTGTTGTAGTAGCACACAGTACTAAGTACAGTACATGTCTGCGGAGTGAGAGTAATTAGTAGCTTCGTTGTTTCTACGGGCAGAGATGTCGGAGCAGACAAGCATTTCTACGTTGCTTGTCATTTACATGACTTTTCATTTCCGTTCGAGTGTAGTATTGGTTTGCCTGTCCAGGTTAGTCGGTACACAGATGTTCTTGGGGGTTTGAGAAATCAGTCCAGGTATAATTCTGTTCTATTCTTGAAGGCTTAGCAAGGAGTTGAGGGTAGCTGTGCGATACCTAGTACAATATCTGTAACGTTCTTCTTGCAAAAGAAAGAAGACCAAATGTCGAGCGTTACAGTAACTATCCTCCGGACAGTGTCCGCTCTTGTCGCAGTTATACTCGTCTTAAGTTATGTGTGCCTTGGCTATGCGAATGGAAGTCTTGGCACAACTTGAGCTTGTAGCTTCGTATTCGGTCTTCTCTCTGCATCCGGCAGTCGGATAAAGTCGGCAATATCCGTAACAACTTACACTGCTAGCCAAAGCGCTAGGACGATGATGCTGCGTGTCGGCCGCGATGCTGACGCCTGCACCTCGATCCGCGTGTGTCATGGTTGGCAACAAACTTCAGGACAAGTTCATGCATTAGAACGTCTAAGGTAACCATCGTGATTTGCTCGGCGATAGGATTCGCCTCGCATCAACATACGTATAAATATAGTAGGTACCGTGTGGTAGTTTCTGCTGCCATTGATGTCTCTCAAGCCTAGCACACACGAAATACTGTGGCAATGGAGATTCAACCCTCTTTGGACTTCACCAGCAACAACAGCCAAACTCGAGGCGACATAAAGTTGCCTTTGACCTCGTGTCAACGCAAACGCACAGTCTGCCGGAGACGTGGGGACATGACGGAAGCCCAACTAAAACTGAAGCGCCAGCAAGATCGAGATGCGCAAAGCCGGAAAAGGCAACGCATACGAGAGAGCAATCAACGCATGGAACACTTGGAAAAGGTTGTCGTTGAAATGAAGCGTGAACTTGTGGCAGAGAAGAACAGATGCACACAGCTGCAACGGCGCGTCCACCAACTTCTCGCGACAATCAGTTACCGGACTGCGGATGTCGGAAATGTTCAAACCATCTCGTTGGAGCGTCTGCCACTTTACACGCAATGCTTCCCTCGGGGCCCATTGTCAGCATCCATCCCGGATTCACAAGCTTCTACTTCTCCCCGCGAGTGGTTAGTAAATTTGGGTGGCTCGCGGGGAAGGACTCCTCTAACGGAAGAAGCTTGATGCCTATGTTCGCGCGATCAAGCCAGTCCTTGTCAGTCTGGAAGGGGTATTGAGACGAATACAATCACATATTGACTCCTTTAGAGCGAACAGTGTATACTGGATGACCCTCCATAGCGCTAAAAGACTCGCACGTTAGTTTTTCGTTTATTCAGGTAGGTAGGGAAGAGCGCCTGTGTTCTGCGAACATGTGAAACATACTGAAAACCTCCAAATAGGATATGTATCAGTTTCTTTTATGTAACGAAACACTCGTGGGTCGAATCTTGCGCGATTGTATTGTGCGGCTAACATAAGTCCGAGCTCGGACGGATGATCAGTCAAGGTGCACAACACCCATGGAAACACGGCAGTTAGCATCTTTCAAGTTATCTATCTTCCAAGTGGACTAGGTCCAGATAGGCGCAAACGCCAGATCATCGTCGGCGCGGGACCTGCGCCGCAGTCTTAGCCTCGCCGAAGCTGCGTATTGAGTAAAGTTATGATACGATTGTCAATTACGATGTTTCAATTTTTTCGAACGAGCATTCACTCGACATGTCTGCCTCGGAAGAGCGGCATCGGTCAGAACAGGCAATGTCGTCTCTCATCAATACAGCAGTATATGTCCTCCACATCCAGAAAAGTTGGTGTTGCTAACTATCAATCTGGCGCAATTTGGGATTCTTCTTTGCTATACCACCCGAGACTTTGAGAGGCGGACGCAGAGGTATGTACCTATGAAGCATTGACGACTAGGTATACCAACTATAGTGAAAATCTATGTACACGGCAACAGGAGTATATGCCTACGTCTCGAGTATTTCTCGTAAAGACATCTGTGATCTGTGGAGTACTCAAGTCATATCATTGGAATTTTGGACAACATACAAAAGCCACTACAACACAACGCCAAGTCTACTTGGCACAATACTGCAGTCAATAGATAAACAGTTGGCCAGAGATGTAGCTGCATTAGTTGTGCTCATTGGCTTCCCTTGTATTAGCGACAAGCTAGCCGTGGCAGTGCTCGGGGGCTAGTCTCCTCCATGTCGCGGTAGTCTTTCGCGGTTGAATCATCTCTGGCGATCCCACTCGAGCTTTCATCTCCGGAGTCGGGACTGATAACACATATAGAAAGACGCTCTGGATTTTCACCTTGCAGATCCCCGTTCTTTCCCAGCTCACCATAGCCGGGTTATATTTGAAAAATGGCAATGAATAGCACCCCACGAATTGGTTACAACACCAACGACAGTGTTAGATCTTTAAGCTGGAATGATGTCTCGGTGACCGTGAAACCACGCAGAGCGCATTCACAAGACATTCTAAGAAACGTCAGTGGCATCGTTCAAGCCGGCGAGATGATGGCGATCATGGGACCCTCGTAGGTGCATACCAAGCATTCACCTCTGTTTTTGCTTACATCTCCCGCAGCGGATCTGGTAAATCGACACTTTTGAACGCTCTGATGAATAGGCATAGCAACCGCTCGACGAAGATATCGGGCGGCCCTCGAATCAACGGTCTGGAAGTGGAGGCGTCATACATGCACCAACTGTCGACGTACGTGGAACAGGACGACGCTCTTTGCGGATCTTTGACAGTACAAGAGACGCTTCAGTTTGCGGCCCGCCTGTCGCTCAAGCTCAGTCCGGCCGACGAGCAGGCGCGTGTGAACTTTCTCCTGGACGCATTCGGACTGAGCCATCACGCCGGGACAATTGTGGGCACTGCGGTTAGGAAAGGAATCTCCGGAGGGCAGAAACGACGGGTCAGCATTGCCGCACAATTAATTACAGGTCCTAAAATCATTCTCCTCGATGAACCAACATCTGGCCTGGACTCACAAGCAGCATTTGAGATCGTCAAGCTCGTGAAAAGAATTACCATGGAGTACAAGGTATGATGAAGGCGCTCATATCGCGACCTACGACGGCTGACCTTCCCCACGCTCATGACAGTGGTCGCTATCCATCAGCCTTCAACGGCAATCTATGAGATGTTCGACAAGATTCTGCTGCTGACGCACGGCGTCACAGCATTTAACGGAAGCATCGCCGAAGTGCAACCATATTTTCGCGCCGTGCAAAGTCCTGTCCCCCCATTCACTAATCCTGCTGAGCACATTCTTGCGTACGCAAATACAGGTTTTGGGCAGACTTTACCTGTCGTACGGAATGCATGGTTGAGATCGTCGCAGATCCAGACGACCAACACGGAAATGGAGTATGCAAATGTCAAAGCTTCAATTGAGCCGCAGGTGCCGGATCAACAGTCCTACGTCCGGCCGGGATTCGTGGTGATCACGAAAACTTTGATCCATCGGGCTTTCATCAAATCATACCGGGACGTGGTGGCCTATGGCATCCGCATGGCCATGTATCTTGGCCTGGCGATCATGATGGGGACCATATGGATTCGACTGCGCCCAGTGCAGGAGAACATCCAAGCTCTCACCAACGCCATTTTCTTCAGCGGCGCATTCATGTCGTTCATGGCGGTTGCCTACATCCCGGCCTTTCTCGAAGACCGCGCGCTTTTTACTAGAGAACGCGGAAACGGCCTGTACGGACCTACTCCATTCGTTATTGCCAACTTCCTCACGGGCGTCCCCTACCTGCTGGCTATTGCGCTCGTCTTTTCCCTCGTTGTCTATTGGCTGTGTAACTTCAATCCGACGGGACACTCTTTTATTATCTGGACCCTCTGGCTCTTCCTCGACCTCCTTGCAGCGGAGTCGCTGGTCATACTTATCAGCTCGTCGGTACCTGTCTTTATCGTGGCATTGGCCGGGACTGCGTTCGCGAATGGGCTGTGGATGTGTACAGGTGGGTTCCTCGTTCGCCCTCAGACGTTGAATCCATTCTGGCGGTACTTGTTCCACTATATCGACTACCAGTCCTACGTATTCCAAGGCATGATGGTCAACGAGTTTGGAGACCGAAATTATTCTTGTGCAGCGCAGGAAGTGGGCCGCTGCTCATGCATTTATCGTACAGAGCTAGAGGAAGAGTGTTTGATTGCTGGACGAGGTGTGTTGGAGCAGTACGGATACGACGATCGTCAGACTGGGACTTGGGCGGCAATCTTGATCACAATAATCGTTGTCTATCGAGTCTTAGCATGGGTAGTGTTGTGGGTTCGCCGGCGTTGATGCAAAGAGAATGACGCGTGATCGATCAGCCAAAGTCTTGCGTCGGAGTAGTCAGTTGTCCCATCACCCAAAAAATCCAGAAGCGCGATGCACAGCGCACATGCCGTACGTCCGCTTAGTCATTACACAGTTTCTTCTATGTAACTTCTCGTACGTAGGATGGAGGAGGGCCAAGAGGAAGGCTCAAAAAATAAGGCAGAGTGCATCCGGGTGTACCGAATGTGGCGAAATGGCCGACCCTACCCTTCGGCAGATCATCTCGTCTGGCGCCACCTCTGCCTAGATCGCGCTCGGAGTCTCGGGCCTATTCAATTGACTCTCCATCTTATTCCGAGTGTTTGTTAGAGACAAAAAGCGGGCAGGGTTGCGACAGAAAATGACTTCGCGTTTACCTCGCAATTTTCGCTTCTGTCGAGACCACTTGCTCGTACGCCCACAGACGCTGCAGTACAACTCGTATGAACCTCATAACTCACCAACACATTCCTTATTCACTCCGCCTAGAATGTTACGATTTTGGTACGTCTCCGGCGCGATTGTGGATGACTTGCAGGGTTTAGAAGGTGGTGAAGGAGGCGAAGAAGAAATTCTCAGCTCAGCAGTACGGTGACCTGTAACTAAGCTTGAATACTCACGGTGCGCCCCGAGACGAGCGTTCCAGATACACAATCTTCTGCCTCCGTAAATAGAAACAAAGACTGGTAAGCACGGAGGCATGGCTTCTGTCAGGTAGTGCTGAGCCCCCGGTCGTTCAGCATTCTCTTCTTCTCCACCCCTCTGTAACCCCTTAGCTAGTCTCTAGGTGAATTATCCGCTAGAGTGAGGAGGTCGACAGCAGCTCCTTACACCGCAAGAGGAGAGGGCAATGCCGTACAGTATGTTTTCTCAGGTCATAAATCTCGCCCTCTGAAGAAGGCTTCTAGAGTATCGTGTCGCAATCTATTCCTATGTAGGTTTAATCGCTGCTCGAACGCATTAGACAGTTGAAGATAATCGTCACTTTATGCTCGACAGAGGTATACCTCGCTTATCCTCTTTCCTGTTGTCTCTAAGCCAATTGAGCTTAAAGATAAGCATTTCGTAAGTCGCTTCACCTCGAATGGTGTTTACGTCGGCCTGGAAGAAGTTCGCTTGTTCTAAGGTCTCGGCCTAATCTTCTATTAACGTCTCTCCTTGTATCACGGGACGCACTATGTCCCGGGACGCGTGGACCGAGGTCTTCCCTTTTATAACGCATTTTGATTGAATTGTCAATCCTGATACATCCTCCTGTTAGATCAGTATTCCTTTTCAGTCTACCCAAGTTTCGTGAGATAATATGCTTCGTACGTAGGTCGATAGTCCGATTTTGTTGTCGGTGTCAGGATTTCTCGGATCTTGGATCGTCGTTTACTCGGCCCTCCCATGCGTTACTGGTATCTCGACTAGAAGAAGAGTTGATTCGTATTTAGAGAGGCTGTGTGGAAATTTTAGAGGAGTTCTGAGACGAGTTAATAGTGTTGTCGTCGAAAAGGATGTAAAATGGTAGCTCAGAAAGTGGCGTCCGAAGTGGCTTTGTGGCGCTTTGAGTGGCGCATTGTTTAGAGATTCTGGAAGGTTCTAAGGACACGTCGCATGGTCGCTCGCTCGAGCACCACGAGAGCGTCGCTGCGCTCTTCCTCTCCCTCCCATTCCCACCCCTTTCCTTTTATAGTAAACGCTTCACATTATGGATAACGCAAGCCGAGCACTAGCGCAAGGTGCTCCCCCCGACGTACCTAACTCGTATCGTGCCCTTGCAGATCACAGCGGGGTGCCTCGCTCCACACTCCACTATCGCGCCCACGGACGACGCTTAATCGAGGAGAAGGCCTAGAGTCAACAGTACCTCACAGCTGGCGAAGAGAAGGCGGTCGTCGGATTCTTGCTGCAAATGTCAGATCTCGGACGTCCCGTTCGCATCAAGCACATACCTTCCCTCGCTTTTAGTGCGACACGTCACAGACCGACCTCTACCAGACCAGCAAAGCCACCGGGTAAGAACTGGGCGAAGGGTCTCGAGAGCCGCCACCCGGAGCTTAAATCGAGAAGAGTCGGTGCGTTAGACTGGAAACGCCATGGAATACACATCTACCCGAAAAGCAAGCATTGGTATAAGGTGATCGAGCCGCTTCTTCGAGATCCAGCCATACTTGCCGAGAATGTCTACAACATGGACGAGACCGGCGTCATGCTTTCCATGCATAGTTCCGTCAAGGTTCTCGTGGGCAGGGATGACATGCAGAGCCACAGAGGTGTACAGGTGAATCGCAGTACTATAACCGCGATCGAATGCATTAGCGCCGACGGTAGGTATCTGAACCCTATGGTCATTTGGCCTGCTACTACTCATCGAAGTAATTGGACTACATTTCCTACTCCCGGCTGGCACTACGCGTGCTCTGAGTCGGGGTACACCGATTCCAACAT